GAGGAGGAGGAGGAGGAGGAGGAGGAGGAGGAGGAGGAGGAGGAGGAGGCTATAATACAGATGGCAGCGCCAATGCCTCCTCCTCCTCTTTACATGGCAGTCGCTCCTACAACGGTCGAGGGCGCGGGCGCAGAGGCCACGGCTACAGCACTGGATACGGTAGGCACCTGTTAAAGTCCAATATTCAACAAAAAAAGACTCAACTTACCTCCTGCCAGATACTTCGGTGTTAACAATTGTATACAAATGTGCCATTTGTGCAAGAAACCGTAACCTTTTGTGTGTGGCGGTCTCTCTCTCTCTCTCTCTCTCTCTCTCGTGTGTTTGCTTGATTCATCCAGGCACCAACTCAGAGCAGTCCAACGCCTCTGAGACAGATTCAGAGCGCAAGGATGAGCTCAGTGACTGGTCCCTGGCTGGAGAAGACCAGGACAGGTGAGGTTTTTTTGTATTTTTTTCATAGCTGTGTTGTCATTACAGCGTGCACATACATATTTTGTTGACTGACTTGCAGGGAGAGAGAAAGAGGCTCACGGCCACAAAGAGATGCCCGCAGGAGGCCTGGGCCCGGCAGAGGCCGAGGAGGGCTTGGAGGACGGGGGAGAGGAGGAAGAGGAGGATACAGCAACAGCTCTGGTAAAATTCACTCTCCGAGCAGACATTCACAAAGATCGGGTCGAGACCCGCAGGTGGGACACAGGAGGTTGTATTTGGCTCGCCAAATAGATTTGCAGAATTTTCATTTAAGATTTATATCTGCAGTTCACATGCTGCACATGAGGCAGCCTGAAGGTTCCTCTTGTTCTGATAACTGTAGTTCACTGATCACACTGAATCTAATACGATAGACCAGATTTCATTCTGTTCGTTTAAATCATGAGAGGAAAAAAAACCAACAACATGTTAACTCTGCCTCAATGCATTTATTTGATCTAAATTATAAAGTATCTAACATGTGTATATGTTTTCAATAACATGCATAAAACTTTTTGAAATTGCTGATTTACCTTTTCTAGATAATATAGTTGATGCTTAAATGGCAGTAGAAATGGTCAGGAACAAAGTTTGAGACTACAAAGAGAGTATCTTTCTCTTGTAAAAGTATTGTCCTGTGGTAGTGTGACTTTAGATAAAAGCTATTTTCTGTAACTCTGACCCTGCAGCAGGGCCTCGGGATCATGAGGATAACCATGCCTACGGGGCCACGGAGACAAACACAGAGACAGACCAGACGGCCGATACCGATGCCAGCGAGTCCAACTTGCCCACAAACCGACGCAGAAGATCTCGACGGCGCCGAACAGACGAGGACACCACACTGATGGACGGCATGAGCGAGTCAGACAACGCCTCAATGAGTGAAAATGGAATAGGTAGGGAAGTCCCAATACTTCTTTCAGGACTTCTTCATGCACACACGGACTCTACAGTGCATACATGTAAAGCATTAGTCACAAACAGAATATCCTAGTGGGAGAGTCTCATACTTTTCACATTTGAAGTGTTAAAGGAGCCTGTGCTGTTCAAAGGCAGGTCTCTGCTTTAAAGGCAATTTAAGCTCCAAATCCCTTTCTTTGTGATTACCCTGACGTCCTTAGATGACTCAGAAGTTAAACCTCAGCGTCGTAACCGTAGTCGACGTCGCCACACCCGCCTGCCTGAGGAGAAGCAGCCAGGTAACCATGGCAACTGCCAGTGTCTCTCTCCCCCCCTCCCTGAACAGGTCTCCTAATGGCTTGGCTTAGAGGTTGCACACCAGGCCGGGTTTCTTTTTTTGTCTTTGTGTGACACAAACCAAACAACTAAACCAAAAAAAGTTGTTAAAATTGTTGTGATCTCTTTAACGACTTGGTGTTGCTTGCTGCTGCTCAACGATGGGATGTGATTGGTTGACAGACGCTGTCCTTACTGGAATGCAAATTTGAAAGTATGCATCTTCCTTTTTTCTTGTATTCTTTTATTTGTTGCAACGCTGGTTTTACTAACAACTAGGCTACAGCTGGTTTGTTTTCACGTGGTCGGGCTGTCAGTAACACCGATGGCGCTCTTGGTTTGTGTGGTGTGTCATAGTGGGCGTGACCCCTAACTTACTTCTCTGTGATGTCGGATGTCAAGTACACAGTGTGGCCTCCAGGTGCCGAAAAGCACCTTTCAGGCTCTCAGACAGGATCGACCGCGACATTCTCAAAACTGTCAAACTATCGTCCATTGTAACTATATAACCACAGGAGGTGTAAATTGTGAGATCAATATTGTGTATGTAAGAGTTTCACAGCACTGAAAGAACCTTTCGGCTTCGGTTATTTAAAAGACAAAACGGACAATTTCCTAGTGGCTTTCTTCTCTCTGTTGTCTCGCCTGCACAGTGACGACGGTGGCCGACTACATATCCCGGCCTGAATCTCAGAGCAGACAGACGACGGCCACTAAGGACACCAAGAAAAACAAGGATGTGGTTAGTTCATAAACGTCACGTGTTCATAAACCTTTTATAAAGTCTCTTTAACCTGGATCTTTTGAAGAAGCACTTTTGAATGTTTGATTGTCCCACGTTTCTGTTCAGGGTCAGGTGGATGCCATCGCCGAGGACAGCCCACCATCTGTGCCGGCAACCACCAATGGTTCTAACGACGCTGCCGACACCGAGAGCAGCAATGCCCCCGGAGCTCCCGCCAAAGCCTCCTGCCAGGAGGACTCTAACCAACAACCTGTTGCTAACGGACTCTCCTAGTCAGACCTGAGCAAAGGAAATGGTTTCAAATATTTGAAATTCTTTGGCTGCACTTGATTTAATCTCCCCGTCTCTGGAGCAGCCTTAAAATTGAAACATTTAAACACAACAAGCACTGTTCTTCTTTTACTTTACAAATATTTGAAACCCGCAAAGTTTTAGACATCTGAACCTTAACCTTCCCTTTACACACGTGTTCTATCCAACTTTTCATTTTACTACCATTTAGTTTTTTACAACAGTTCTTCCTGTATGAGCTTGCCAAAGATAGTCAAACACACACAGACTTACAAACATCCAATTAACTGTACTTTTCGGTCCGCTCTTCATTGAGAGCTCAGGGAGAGGTCGGACCGAATGCAGTATTTATAAAAACGCAGACAGGGAATCAAACTCAAACCCATACTAAGGTATGAATGCAGCCCTTCTTTTTTTTTTTTTTTATCAGTAAAAATATCATAGCAGGATTTTTAGATCAGAAACATGTCTGCCTTTTACCAGGTGGACTCGAAAAAGATGCTTCCACGACCTTTTTCAGGATGTTTTGTGCATCTGAAGTAGTTTGTAAATTCAATATTCTGCAAGAGCAGAACCACAGTGCAGATAGGTTTGTTGGAAACCCAAGTATGTTTGACATACATGTGATCATCTGTTGTGCCTTGAGAGTAGATTCAACATGTTGTTGCCTGGCTCTGCACACCGTCTGAAATTGTTTCACTTGTTTCTGTGTTACGCGCTCACCCTCTCCGCCACAGTGGAACCAGATGAGCCGTCTCCTTGTGCTTAATGTACCCTCATGGCACTGTAGGCAAGACAAACACCCAGAGACCCTGAAAGGATTTCAGAGGCATATCTTTTTAAAATCAGGTGTGTCTATTCTTAATGTTTGTGGGGAGAATGAGTCCAGTTATTCTTTCTCTCGCTCTCTCTCTCTCTCTCTCTCTCTCTCTCTCTCTCTCTATATATATATATATATATATACACACGTCTCTGTTGAGGAGTTTGACATTAGCTGCTTTCTGTTTTTTCAATATGCAACCACTTTGGTCATGAGAAGTTATTACAGCGTGTCTGGAAAAGAAACAAACGATAGAAGAGTTGTTTTCTTTGCACTGAAACATAACCTTATTCTGTTTTAAAAGTTGATTGTAGGTGAGTCTGGAAACTGGCTGTTACTGTTAAGTGCTGGAAAGAGATGTAGCCATCAAGCGCTGGGTTTCCTGAAAACATCTCATTGCTAAACAGCGGGCGCTTTCATCAAATATATGACAAGAGGGATAATGAGTGCTTTTTTTTTTTCTTCCAGAATTCCAGCTAAATCAAAAGAAAATCAATGCTCGGTTGAGATGTTTTTGGAAAACCAAGCCCAGGTGACGATGATGTCATTTTCATGGTTCTTCCACAGGCTGGCTGGAAACTGGTCACGACTGTTCCACTAAGGAAGGAGATTTATTTGGTTTTATTTATTTAAAAATGTACAGTATTTAAAAAAGGCAAAAAACAAGAGAAGCTCTTCTTTTTCTTGACACTAAAATATATGTTAGAGGGTTTTCTTTTGAGACAAAATGAAAATTTGGACTACTGAGAGTTGTGACATCCCCAAAGTGTTTTTGTTGGGTCAACTACAGTATGTTTTTTTTTTTTAAAAGGATCATTCTGGTTGGTTGATGTGCAATATGTTTTGTATGCAGGTAGTTCTTAAATAAACTTGATCTTCCATGTAGATCTAAAACTCAACTGTGTCATCCTCTCTTATGAAAATATGACTTAAGTTGTATCAGTACAATGCAAGTTGGTGCAGTTTCTCATGGATCTCAAATGATCATTTATTGATAAATATTCATAACATCAAACCCCAATTTTGGTTCTGTTGAAGGTTGGCTGTTATAACCAGCCTGTACCAATTTGTATCATTCTATATAGTTTTATTGGTGGTGGTAGGGCCAGCCTAAGCACGAGGGAATCAGGGAAACACTGCATGAAATCCAGCACACATCAACCTCAGTCTCACTGTTTGCTCTTTTACACAGCGTCACAGCTGTGTGGAGTTATCGCTAATAGAGATGGAACATCCATCTACTGCTGCTTCACTGCGAGAGAGCTGTATATGTGGTGCGTGTAACCTCCCCCAACCCTTTACCATGGCACTGACTTTAACAAATTGTAATCTATTGTTTGAAGTTCCCATCTTGTGGAAAACCACAATGGAAAATTTCCCTGAAAAGCACACAAAGTAAATCTGAAATACAACATAATAACGAAGGACAGTTCCAGTTACAATTTGTACAGCGTGATTTTATTTGAGAACAATCGGTTAGAAAACTCTGGTAATCGCTGAAGCCGGGTCAGTGCAAACAGCATGGATGAGAGCAGTGTGGAACTTCTGTCATTGCTGGCATCTTCACTTCTTTGTCTGGGCATCGAAGAAATCCTTCGCTTCATTTATCTTCGCTGCCAGGTAGGGAGATCCACCTGTGGCATGCGCACACACACACGCACACGCACACACACACACACACAGTGTCCATGGTTACGTTTCAGAAAAGCCGAAACTGAATCTTTTTGGCAATCATGCTGCATAAAACCTGTTAATAAGTGTAGCCATTACATTCACCTCTCTTTTCTAAAATAAACTACACCCTGAAGTAATTTGAGTGACATGTCATCCATAAACAGTGAATGCAGTGAACGAATGTTTATTTAGTCCAGTCTGTGGAGCACTTCATTGTAACGTACATGGTCAACAGGAACCGATGGTGGAATTGTAATGCCTCACTTACCTCTATCTGGGTGATTCAGAATCATTAGTTTTCGATGTGCCTCTCTGATCTTAATCCTGTTGGCTGTGGGACTGCAGGACAGAACGGTGGCAGTGAATTATTGTCGTAATAATCAGTGAATAGTGCGGGTTAGCTGATTCTAACATGCAAGCGTGCACTTACCTGATACCTAAAACCAGGGAAGCTTCTCTCTTGGACATCTTTGGATCAAACCCACCTCTATAGTAGCCTCCTCCAAAAGCCTGCAACATGTACAGTTCACAGCTCAGCATGATGGGCCTGCTAACTCGACGCTTACTTGCAACATACTTGTGAAAAGTAAACTCAAAGATTAAGCGTATCTATAATGTATACTTCCATTTGGAGAGAAACTTATTGTGTGCATGTTTTCCCTTCTTACCGTCTTGGGGAAACTCTGAAGGGCCTGTTTCATCTGAGGCTCCATCAGCCTCATGGCCTGCATGGCATAGCGACCTGACAGACGGAGCAGAGGGGAAGCACGCAGCATATTTACACCATATGATAATTGTGGAATTGTCTCTACCATTTATATTGACGCAAGCACCGATAACCCGAGTGTTATTTTGGCTGGGAGATGTTTAAAAGCAATTTTGTTTTCCCCACATCTTTATCACTATATGGACAATCACATATAAAGTGATGAATGAACCATATTACACACTTATGCATTACATCAGGAAAACTCTTAAAACAAGAGTAAATGATAACCAATGTGACCCTACTATAACAATCTGCATTATATCAATAGAGGATACTGAATTATTGCCATAATTAACAGTAACTTGGATTGCTGCTGGTATTATAAATGAAACCAGAGCTCATGAGGTGATCTATCTGATCAATCGCTGGTGGTTGTGCAACATTGAATTTCTGGTACTTATTTTACTTTATGCATTTCATGTTTGTATTGTTCTTGTTCGTGTCAAGGTGATCGGTCGCACCACAGAATAACTAAATGCTCAGTTCAACTTTTCAACAGTTAGCTCTTATAGGAGACGCTCACCTGCAAATCCAGCTGCTGCCAGAGCCAGTCCCACTGCCACCATGGAACTGGCCTGATGTTAGAGAGAGAGAGAGAGAGAGAGAGAGAGAGAGAGAGAGAGAGAGAGAGAGAGAGAGAGAGAGAGAGAGAGAGATCAGGATAAAAAAACATTATGAAGATGCACAGAACCTCACCTGCACCAACTAACCACCAGCTGTCCTACCGGTGCAATGTAAACACGTACCACATGGCCAAGGTGTCTCCTACTGTGAAGCCTAAGCAAGTGACGTTAGCTACGTGTGTTTCGAACCTCTACTTGCTGATCTCTTTAGGTACCGCACTAACGTTGGTTGGTAAACGTTATCTAGGTTTGGTCACGTCGTGCTGGGTCATGCACATTCGAGTAAAGCTAACGTTAGCTTAGCCGTTTAGAGTGAACGTTATCTAACGTTTTCAGCAGACCCCTGCTCACGCTACCGTTTTTCGGATGTTCGCTCCAGTTAGTGAATAACACGTCCGACCTACCATATCTGGGTGTTACGTTCCGTGTCTGTTGCAGATTAGGACCATAACTTTTGACCTCTCATGTTTTCCTCGCTCGAGCGTGCATGTGTTTGTACCGGAAATGGCGGAGAACTGTCGTAAAGCGTTGACGTCCGCTGGTTCTCCTCCCCTCCTCTCCGGGTAAAACTGTAAAACTGAACCAGCATGCAAACATTCACATAACCTCCAGCAACATGTTTGTGTGCCATTTAGCTGAATGCAGTTTAAATGCTAACTTGCATTTGCTATAATGCTTTGTGGTGGCTAGTTAGCATTAGCATACGGTTCTGCTAAAGCTCCAAGTTAGTTAGTTAGTTATGTAAACATTTAAGCTGCACTACAGCTAAGAGCACTGAGTGGGATGAATGGGAAACTCAACAAGTAAATTAGCAATGTAACTCATGTTTTGTTTGTTAAACAGAGTGGCCACAAGTGACTTATTAAAGGATATATAAATGCAAATAAATGTGTAGCATGTTCAAAGAACCTATCCATGTCTATTACACAGCAACATCTCTGATATTTTATAAAATTGAGCTGAGTAATGGTGCAATTTCTCCAATATGAATTACTCTTCATTTGAAAGTGTAAGCCTTGCTTTAAGTCAACACAATTAAAAATGAGTTAATTGATGTTTCATCTACTTTTGTTGACAGGGTTGTCTCTTTTTCAATAAAACGTTAAAAGTACCAATGGGTCTTGTTTTCCTCACTTTTGCTGGTTGAAGATATTTTGGTGTGTGTGGAAGTAGTACTTTAAAGTGTCCGTTACAAAACAAACCTGGATATATTATGAGTTGTAACTTTGTTGCTACGTGTGTGTGTGTGTGTTTGTGTGTATTGGACAGGAAGCAGTTGGCGGTTGAGAAGAGCTTCCGATCAACTTGCTGACTGACTTTTGTGCATAATAATAGTACGTAGGCCTACATGATTACAAAATGAGTACACTACCCCTTTAACCTGTGACCCACCTCCACTGAACTGTTTTGGAGGAAGTGGGCGCAATGATTTTAGCAGACTCCTCAATGAATTGCACTTCCATATGGCAGAGGTAGGTCTCTGCTCAGGACTGGGTCAGCATGTATGGACTGCTTGATAGACATCAACGTTCAAACAACGTTACCTGTGTGGGTGGGCGAAGCCTTTCTATGCAGTGGTTTCCTCGCTGAAAAGATGACAATAATGTCAAACGTTTAGTTCAGTTATCTGGGTTTGAGCTACATCTCAAGAGTTAAAAAAAAGTCTTAATTAGCTTTAACCGTGTGGATTAAAGTCATTTGTAGATCTGTCTGGATTAAAACGTTTTTATGTCTTAAGAGTATAAACTGTAAACTGTTGCTGTTGACATTCTTTTGAAACGTGATTTCTAAAATCATTAACTTCAACTAAATCAAACTCAGTCTTAATCCAAAAAGCAAAGCATCTTTTGTACTCTCTGTTCTCCTTGAGGTTTTTTTTTTGCACATTTGAAGGTTATATTTAGAGGAGCGGTCACTTTACAGTTACAACTTGAATGGTAACTCAGGCCTACACAGGATGACGCTGAAACTGAGTTCATACTAGTGATGAAGCATACAAAGTGTGGGAGATGAAACTCTGAAAGTGTTTCAACCATAACATAATGTTAATTATTAAGAGAGCTTCTGGAAGTCATGCTACACTATTTTACCTGTGAACTCTACCTGTGTGTTATGCCTATATGAGCAGCTCAATAGCCAAACGGCCTGCTTGTACTGTAGGTGTATCGTAATCAACAAAGATGCAAAAGTTTGGGATCAATTAACTTTTCAAGTTATTCATCAAGCAAAAGCATCAGGTTCAAGCTTCTCAAATGGCACGGCTGGCTGTTTCACCGTTTACAATAGTGCATCACATGCCAGCAGGCCTCTGGATAAACAACAGCTGTCTGCTGCAGTGGCATCCAGCTCCCAGGCAGCTCTCCCACAGCTAAACCAGAGTTTGCTGCCACTGTGTCATATATGGGGTGATGGCTAGTCACAGGACAGAAGATGCTGTGAACATCTGCAGGCTGTCAGTAAGGAGCAATTTAAACCCGAACGTGCCCTGCTGCGTCTCTCCTACCGTTGGACCGAACCACGGCAGTAGCTAACACAATGGGACAGTGAAGGGCCTAATTATTGCCCCTATCATTTGCATAATTACAATGTTTTCCTAAGGCAAGGGCAGTATAGAAATTGTAAATTGTAGCTGACCCGCTGTCTCTCCTCAGTGGAAGTCATATTTGAATGGAGAGAGCCTGTTCTGCTAGCCAGGCAGCCAGGCTCAGGCAAGAGGTCCCAATCAGCCAGCCGCACAGACTGCTCATTCAATAGGATTTAAAAAGCCAACTGTGTGGAGAAATGAGAGTTTTGCCCCCCAAATCATATGGAATTACAGTGCTGGTTGCATATGGGGGGGGAGCCAGTGGCAAGCACAAAAGCCCACAGGAAGCAGCTATTTCTGTGTGTTTTATTAACCCAACCAAGCAATTTAATTCTTTTGTTCGGGGGAGTTCTACTTCATTGATTAACAAAAGCGGGGATATAATTTTTTCAGCCCCTTTTGAAAAGCCTGAAATGTCAAGCCTTTTAAAGGAGATTATTCTGCCTGTGTGCGATGAATAGAGCCCAGAGTAACCTTTTGTCTACAATTAAATATTCCAGCATAAATATAAAAGAAAATCAGAGATGGGGAAGATTGAGTCAGGAGAGATTGGAGAGGTAGATCCTCTGCCCGATAGTGGCAACAGCCTGGCTCTAATTAGATATGCCAGGCGGGCTGTGAGCAGTCACTCTCCACAGCACGCCGAGAGAGGAGGCAGCCTGAGAGAGGAGGACAGAGGAAACCTATCTGCTCATCTGTCTGTCCAGCGCCTTCCTCTGGGCATCCACAAGGTATTTCAGGAGACTTTGTTTTGTTTTGCTTCCCCGCCATTATTTGTTTTCCTGACATCTTTGCCACCGGAGAGGGAGAGTCTATAAGGCAATGCCTTCTGGGAACTGCATAAACAGAGAGGGCTGAATAGGAATAAAAAAAAAAAGTTGTGAGATTGTTTATGATTCTGAGGAGTGATTAGGAACGACAATAAGAGACTTTAGGGACAGAGAGGGGTTTATTACGTAGACTATGAGGCTGCCTGGAGGAGATGAAGAGGGATGATAATGAAGTTTTCATCGTGCAGGGCTGCATTTGATTGTGTTTTGTGAGTTGCATTTGCGTTGTGCACTGAGGAGGCTGAAATACATGTGGACTGAGGTGATCTGCATGCTTTGGTACAGCAGTGAGCTTTGCACTGTTGTCTTCAATCCTTATGGAAAGATTTACCTGATGATAAAAGTTTTGTCATCAGTCGATTATAAGTTTCCGAGATGGTCTTCGTGTGCAGTTTGGTGAAGCCGTCTTCCTCCGTTATGTAACCCTTTCTCTTTAATTACCCGATTAGGGAAAACACTGAAGGAGGTAATGAAACCCTTAAACTCTCCCGCAGGTTTAGTTGGAACTGGGTGCTAGTTTGCTCCGTTGGGTTTTGATGGATGATGCTGTGACCTCTTGTCAGTTGGTTTTTTCCTGACCAATCATTCTCTGGAGTGACTTCATCGTCTCTGCCAATAGACGTGATGCTCCTCTTGGCTTTTTGACACGATACCTTCATACATATACTTGGCTTTTTGACACATGCTCATACTTTATTAACCACATTTAACATGTTTACATTTTTGTGCAGTTTTTCTTTTTAATATTATGATTAGTTAATGAAATCTTGTCTTTCTTAAAATGATCTGGTTGCATAAGTTTAGCAGATATGTCTCTTTTTAGTCAAACTAATTACTTTCAAGTTCGAAACAGTTGATATTGATTTATTAAAGGGGGAGTTGCATCAAGTGCTGTTTTGATCTGTTTTGAAGGAAAAGGAAAGTGCCAATACTACTGTTATATTAACAGTTATTAGAGGCATCTGTATAGCAACTTACCACACATTACTGGTGGGTTCCCAATACCCCATATTGTTTGGTCAGAATTTCTGTATATATAGCAAGATGGAAGACTGAAGGTAAAAGATGAAAAGCAGTGTTTTGATGTATAGATGGTGAGAAAGGACTAAGATTGTCTTGTGCTCTACTTCGTACATATTACAGGCGACGAGAAAGGACAACCTCTATTTGAACTCATTTCTGAGACTCCTGAATTTATTTCACCAGAGCCTGAAGCATCCTCGAAATTGCTGTCAAATCCCTTTCCCCTAAATTATGTGCAAGGTATTTAACTTAGAGTAGATTTTGTATTTCACCATGCAGGCAAGAACACCACATCGTCATTAGAGAACTCACCTGCTATTAACACCATGAAACATTTAACATAATGCAACAAAAGTAGAGCAGGTTACAATACCTCTTACAAGTGTTTCTGTGCAACCTACAACACCATACATGGATGCAGCCAACAAACACAATGATGTTTACAGGGTGGTAATCTGAAGACTTTGTACTGACAATGAATGCAACAGGCCCTTCAAACAACCTACATTACCTCACTGGCTCTTGTTCAGTCTGCTCATTTCCTCCAATTGTCTCAAATTCTGGATCAATGACAAGAGTCCTGATTAAACTGCAATGCAGAAAAGCATTAATAGAGTTATGTCAATTTTGTGGGGGTAAAAGAGAGAAATGCAGTATATATCATGGCATGAATGAAATATCTTGTTTCGTTTCTCCCCCCCAAGGACAAAAATATACATTTTATTTGTATTTAGATTAGTTAACTCCTTTATCCACCTGTCAGTCACACAAATGGTTGCTGGTTTCATCTTTTGTTTTTCCTGTCAGGGTCTCAAACACATTTTTGTACATTGCCTTGGGACTTAGTTTTAGTGAGAAATACTCTTACCATTGGCGTATCCAACACATTGACCCTCAAGATGTTTTCATTGCAAGTGCAAATTCAGTGGAGGGCAACTGCACATAAATATTTGCCAGACCCTAGATTTGATTGAAACTCATTGTAGAATAACACATCAGACTGGATCCAAATCAGACTGGGATTGCAAAAAGTTTAGTGTGCATTTTAAGTAGAAACTTGAGCCAGGGGTGGAAGTATTTAGATCCTTTACTTAAGTAAAAGTAGCAA